TGTATTATTTCAGTATTTGCGTTGAGGGATATGATCCTTCACTTTGTGGGGAAAAACTTAAGTGCGTGTTGAGGAAACATTTCTGGCGTTGCGGAACGCTCGCGATCATACGTGTTCCCAGAGTTTGTACAATCAACAGGTTAATTTGTGTCTTCTTCCAAATTAATTTTCCCCACCTACCCAACCTAGCTCTAGAGTTACAAAAAAGAACTAACTAATTAAAAACTTGTTATTTGTAGATCTTTCATTACTTTTCTTGGAGGACGCGGACGCGACACAGAAAAGAATGCGTTGGAACGTAATGGAAGTGACATGGAAGGATGGAATATAGTCGTTACGCCTTTCCCGTATCCAAACCCAATTCCTGAATTGGATGCTTACAGGAATCCATCCAAATCCTGCGTCAAAGCCGAAGAAGATGAAAGACAAGGAGGCTGGTAAATTCTTGTTTTAGAGATTAGTTATATATATATATGTGTGTGTGTTCTTGTCATGTTTGATAACGTTGCATTCAAATTATTATATAGGATAATTGTTTTCGCATATGGCACTTCGCGTACTAACGACGAGGATATCAAGAAATCCTTGATTAAACATTTCTCTTCATGTGGAGAGATCACTAGTGCTTACGTTGTAAGGTTTGTGCCTTTCTTCCTTCATCTTTCGCCAACTTATCTCAAGAGTTATTCAAATGCTAAGTACTAAAGACATTTTTCTTATTTACTTTTTACAGAAGCAGAAAAGTTAATAGAGTTAAGGTTTTAATTAAGGGAGAAGGCGCAGTGGAAAAGGCGCTGAAGCTTACTGGATGTGAATGTAGTGTGAAAGGGTGTAAGCTTGTAGCTAAGGAGTTTCCAAGAAGTGAGGTTACTGGCTATACTATCCAAGGTACGTCAGTTTGCTCTTGCTTCTTGGTAACAAACAAAAAGAAGTAAAACCCTCTCATTAATTCGTGGTTTGTTTTAGATCCTTGTTTTCCGGTGGCTAAGAAGGTTAAGGTGTAGAGAAT